GTGCTTATTTATTCCAAATTGCACTCGAAATCATGTGATTACCTATACAAATATAGTGATCGGTCGTTCGCTCATCTGCAAAATTCTTCTATATCTTTGAGTTGCGATTTATGTTTCCAACTTAATTCAAAGGTGTGAAATTCTTGTTAGATTTTTTGTGTGTTTTCCTCTTTCAGCTCCTGAGATGATTTCAAACGTTTGAAATGTTGGTGAAAGGACAAATCGCACGACTGCAGATGTTAGCTGGTGACGAAGGGGGAACTGGTTATTCAGGTGTGTTGCTAAGTTAATCAAAGGAATGTCAGGTTAAAAGCGGTTAGTTATGAATAATGGCTAAGAATTCTCGTCTTTACGGGGCTCAGTTTAGAACGCATGCGTGTTAATATCGTATCATGAACGGTAACGTTACATTTTGTCTTATTCGAATTTATTCTCCATCTCTTCACAGGTTTCATGAAATAATGGCCATCTCAAAAACCAAGATCATCCTCGACAAGAAGGCTTAAATTGGAGGTCTTACAACCCACCACCACACCAGCTCCAATAACGAGTTTTTTTTCAGTCCTAATAAAAATAGTTTTGTATAGTGGTAACGAAATCTTCGTAATACGCATGTGTATTAAGACAGACGTTTGGTTACACAAACGCATGCGTTTGAAATAAATATTAACACCACAAAGTAGACAACTTTTGCAAGTACTTTATAAAACTGCCTGTGAGAGGTGGGTGCGGTGGGGGAGGTTGGATGGATGAAAAAAAAACACTGTATTAACAACTGTATTAAAAGATTGTAATCAGGAAGTAATATATAGTATTATAATATATAGTGTAATATATTAGAAGATTGTATTGTAATATCACTGTACTGTAATATGAGTTGATCATATCAAAGGACATTTGTATCAAAAGGTAGACAGAAAAGGTCGGGTGTAGTAGGGCATGATGAAAGGTTAACCGTTTTTGGTTTCCCTCTAAGGTATTTAACTTTTAGAAAATGCCTCAGAGAGGCAGGTGGGTAGAGGGGAAATGGTCAAAGAATCGAACCCCATTTTTTTTATTCTCTGATTTGGGGGTCGATCCAATTTTGCTTTCTTCCCAAAATTTATACTTTTCTCTAGCCCAGGCTTAAGGTGATCGTGTTTCTTGGTATCGTGCTTTAAGTGGTCGAAGAAACCTGCAAAATAGGGAAATGAAATCAAGACCAAGAATTTGAGCTATGAAAACGTTCTCCGCCTTAAGACTTTTACCAAAAGAACGACAAACGAGCTTTTCCCACCGAAGAACGAAGAAAGACTTACAAAAGTCTGTGTTTAACTATGCCACAACAATTATGCTCATAGACTTGGAAGAATTTGAAATTCAGAGAAAAGAAATTATTCCGCATGCGTCCTAAATACCCTTAGTCACAAGAAAAAAAAAACAAACTGTGCCATGAAAAACTTCAACGAATGTTGCTCAAGTTTTCGTTTTTTTCCTACCCTTTTTTTTCCTTACCTTACCTTAGAAATTATTCCGCATGCGTCCTAAATAGACCTTAGTCACAAGAAAAAAAAAAACAAACTGCCATGAAAAACTTCAACGAATGTTGCTCAAGTTTTCGTTTTTTTCCTACCTTACATTGGTCATTTTGCAACACCACTTGCTTCTGGTAAATCAGGGCTCAAGTAAATTGAGGAGCAACGACATTTGGCTTTCACATCACTTCAATCTGTAAAATTAAAATGGCAATAAACAAATTAACAGTTATGAGACCAGTTTCACAGTACTATACAAGTCTCAAAACCTAATACACAACATAATAAAATCTATCAAAGTACATGTACAAGCCTTGCAAGAGAGAGTCTGAGTTCGTCAATTCTCTTCCTTTCCACGTTCATACTCTCTTAGGGTTCGTATCTCTTTCCTGTTTCTCTCGAACCAGAAGTAAAGTGAAGACCAAAATGCATTTAATCGTTTACTTCCGCCTTGCTTAATAGCATGAAACGAACACAATATCTTTAAAACTTTGAAACCAGTTTCAGCGTACAGTAAAAAATATCTCCTAGATTAAAAGAGGACAAGTCTCTTTCCCAAACAACAAAGTGCAAGAAACGCGTCATGTTTGCAAAAACGAGCTACCCAGTTTCGAAATTGCTCCTCTATCGTGTGTAAAATGCACTTAAGTATGATACAAGCTTTTTATGTATCTTATTACTGTTATACCTTTGGGCATTCGTCCATTTTTTCCTCTCACTGACTGTCGGCAAACTTGTATGTTCGGTCTTGTTTTAACTTCCTTGGAGTAGAGCATAGCTGGTGAAACCTAGAAGTGAAAGACACAGAAGTTATGCACAGACTGCTCGTCCGTTTCTTTTAACGTTCACTCGTCTAACTGTTCAAAACAACAATTCAAATCCTAAGAAAATTAAAGCCTGAAATATCGAAAACGTTTCTGAATTTCCGTTTAAAACGACTAAAACGATTTGTTGATCGACAACCAAGAGGAAAGAAGCGTACACTGCTATTTTGTAACTTTTCCCCCGCTTCCTCAGGTATCGTGGTGTTTGTTCTTGGTATTGAATTTGCATCAGATTTGCATACAACATCTTGCGTTTTGCACGAGAATTTCTGGTAATGGATCTGCAATTCCAAATGAAGTCGGGCAAATTTGGCACCAATGATCAATCACATTGAATAATTTCAGCAAAGTGTGGTTCCAAGAAAGCCGCATCCAAGTTTTCTGAGGTGATTATGCTAAAACATCAAATAGATTATCAGTGAACAACGATCAACCTGCTTACTTCTTAAAGACATAATTTAGTTTTATCAACTGTGTTTAAAAGGTAAATTGCCACCGTTAAAAGTTTCAAAGCTGACGTTTCGAACGTTAGATTTGAGACCCTTCACGGTGGCTAATTTACATCATCAACTCAGTTGATAAAATCAAATTATCTTGTTATACTCCCCCACCGATGCACCACACTTTCTTTAGGAACTTTCCCACCTAAATACAACAGCTTAAAAGTCGAGGAACATATTTGAGTTCGCACTTTTCAACAGATAGCCTGCATTCCATAATTTTGGTTAGACATACCATTGATGCAGAAGGATAAAATTCCGCCAATTTCACAAATGCCACAACTTGGGGTATTAATCAACCCCTCACTTTCATTGACTAAAACTTAGTTTGCCTCTAACTTAATTCTAAGACTTGGATCAACCTATAAAAGGTAGTCATTGGACCACTTAATTTTGTTCATATTTGTTTTCAATGTTGACCTTTTAACCTGATCCCTTGAGAATTTTTCTGCATTTTGATTGGTTAGTATTGGCTAAGTTGTTCAGTTGTACTGATGGCCTTTACCTCTTGGCTGCTTGACTGTCTGATTACAAGTGTTCAACATGGGACAGGTGAAATCAGACAGTTTGGACCTAAAACAACCACAAACAAGGTCAAGTACATTTGAGTCTGTCTGTCAGTTGGTCAGTTGCACAGTCAGTAATTAATTCAGCTTGCTGATTAGATATCCATGCAGCCAGCATGTCAGATCAACAGTCAGATCACCAGTCAGTCACCAAGTCAGTGCAGCCCATCATATGTAATTCTTTCATTTAGTTAGCCACTTAGTCCACACATTAGTACAATAGCCAGTATGACATTCAGTCCTCCAGTTGCTCACATCATCAGTCCATTTGTTTCCTCTTATTGTTGATTACTCTGTCATTTGATCATGCAGTCAGGCTGCCACCCAGTTAGTCAGTCAGCCATTCAGTCAGTCTATAAGTTAGTTGATTGGTCAGTCAGTCAGTCAAGATGGCAGTCAATCAATAGGTCAGTCAGTCAAGCAAGTGGTCAGTCAGTCAGCCAGTCAATCAGTTACTCACCCACTCACTCATCAAGTCTGTGGCTTGACCAGTAAGTGCATCTGTCAGTTAATTTATTAGTAACAATAAGTCATTCATAAGTTCTATTGGTTAATTAGCCTCTTGACTGATTACATAGGTAAGTTAGTAAGTACATAAATAGGTTAGTAAGGTAGACAGTGAGGCAGGCAATCAGTCAGTCAGTCAACTTAAAGTATCAAAGAAGGATAAAAAGTAATTTTTTCAATTTCCTGAAAATTTCATATCTAGTAGAGAAATTTAAGATCTATCAATTTCTGAAAATTTTAATTCTCTCTCTCTGAAAAGAGGAAAATTTCTTCGCAGTTTGCATCAGAGCAGAAATGTTTTGATAGGGTTCCTACTACCCTTAAGGGATGCAGTGGCCACAGTCTTTTTCTATTGAAGTTGCTGAAGGTGCCAGTCTGGAAAAAAATCTCACAGACAAGACCCTTGCTTAGTATTGCGCTTAAGCATCAATTGTTGAGCTGCTTTGTTGTGTTTGCCTTTTAGCTCTCCTTCTTCTGTTTGACCTTTTCTCTCCTCTTTTTTCATGCTGTCCCTTGCTGGTTGAATCACCCTCCACATCAACACAAATAGCTACAAATTTACAAGTGTATTCTTCCTATCCGTGCTTGGATCACTGACAGCCAAAATAGTGTCAAGTGACTTGCTTCAATATGATTTGAAAACAGCCTTGACAGGTGTGAAGTAGAAATACATTTATGTAAACAAACACTGATGCCCCGAAAAATTTCAAGTCACTTTTGGCTTGAGTTCTGATGTTTGATGTTTATATTCAGTCAATTACTGTTAGATTTGGAGATAATGTCAGAAATATAATGAACCCCAAGAGGGTGTCTGGGATTTTTGTGTGTTTTCTTACTTTTTGAGATAAAACGTTTCAATTGAAAACCTTGCCCAAAAGCAATTAAAATACAAATCCCAGAAACGCTTTTTTAGTTCAATATGTGCAGATCATGTTCTGCTCAAAAAACAAAGGAGTTGATTAAAATGTCTTGATAAATAAACTTATCCTGTGAAACATGTCAGAAAAAAAGAATAATCTCCCATTCTGTGACACAATAAAAATCATAAAAAATGAATGAAATATCCAGAATCAGTGTTGTTCAAGATTAAAGAAAATGCATACTTCTATGGGGATAGCATGAACAATTTTGAACCTATTTCAGTTTGAATGAAAAAGTTTGTTTTCCTTCCGTGATAACTTAGGTCACATGTTTGATAGCTGATATGTTGATTGGTACATGGTGTACTGGCAAGCTAGTGGTTAGTCTCAAAGATGTAGTTGTCAAGTTAAGCAGTACATTACTGAGTCATTGAGTTGGTTTACTATAATCATAATACCTCCTGAGCAGAGCAATCTTTAAAACAACAAAATTATGTTCTAGTTTTCTTGTATTTCAGATTCCTCTGAGATTTAGACAAGAAGAATAAAATCTGAAAGTGTGGACTATAGGTGTAAGGTCTTAAAATCAATTTAGAGGTTGCATGAAGCAGTAAAAGAAATTGACTAGGGAAACTAACAGAGAACCTTACTAAAGTTATTATAGAATTACTGAAAATAACTTCAAAAGTAGAATCACAAGAAACACAGGTAAGCAATAAATTAATAGACAAACTTGTCTTTAATCAACTGGATGAAGTTTAAAAAAGTGCTAAAGCTTTGAATTAATTGGTAATCATTCATTTGTTGGTGCAGTACCTGAAAGACTGCTCCAAACACTGCTGCTTGTCACAACTTTGATCCATGTGATTTCCATTTTGCATGATATATCTGTATACAAAAAAAAAACACATATTAAAATTAAAACTGTATGTTAATTATTTAAATTTTGAGAATTTTAACTCCACTGCTTTGTTTAAACTAATTTTTTTAATTGTGCTTTCGTCAAATATTTATCTATCATATGCTTAAGTGGATATAGAGGTGAAAAGTGGCTAGTAGATATATAAATCATATGTTCTACTTTCACCAATACAATTTCAGCAGATCAATTTATAACCAGACAGTCCCATTTCACTAAACTCAATCACTCAAAAGTGCTCAAGTCTATCATCATTTATTCTGTTTGAATAATCCCTTAATATCGTCTCTCCCACAATCCCTATTCCAAAATTTTAAAAATGGGTTCTTAGAAAGATCTCCAGCAGGTGTCAGATGGTTCCTAGCCCTAAGGAGATTAAAACATCTTCTTAACTTTATCACTAGATTGTATAATGCCAAAACCCACTATGCCAAAAATTAGAACCTTTCAAAAATTTTATACAACCCATCATTACTGGATCATGTTTCAGTCCAGGAGCATTGTGGAGTAATTGTGGTATCCGACTCTTAGTTCTGCCGTCACGTAATCAGAACAAAGTTGTCTTTTTGTTTACATCAGCTATCACATAAAAATATTTCATAATGGTTGATATGTGCAATCTTTTCAAAAAATTCCCAAAATTAGGAAAGCAACAACAAAACGTTGGATGACTATGATAACATAGAGGCCAAAATTATATTTTCAAGTATTCACTACTTGAAAATTGATTTACAAAGAAATCCTTGCTCATTTCCAAGAAAAGTTTACACATGTTATGTAAAAATTATGAGCAGTAAGGATGTTTGATGCAGTACTAGAGAATTACCTCAACTCAGAATCTCCCACTGGTAAATCAATTAGCGACTCTTTTCGAGAAATTGCGCAGAGAAACAACATAGGCCTTGTTTACACAAAAATAATTAGCTTCGAAGAGATGTTAAACTTACCTTTCTGTGCACGAAAACAAACTTTGCAAGGTGCGTAAATTTTTCGTAAAATGGTCTATCCAGCCTGTAAACAAAAGGGGAAAAAACACGGTTTCATTCCTCGTTAAATAAGGAATTGCAGGGTAGAGTAACCTAATAGTACGGAACAAACCTTTCAAAGAAGGATAAGCTTAAAAACATCCAACATGGCCGCCTGTAAACAAATACTCGCCAAGACAGCTAGGAAGTAAAGAAAACTAGACCATAAACTGTACACATGCGTATTCCCCTCCTACCCCTCCCTTCTATGATTCTTCGACATGATCGTTGTGCCACATTAAAAGCCAGATTGCAGATCATTGGCTTCACTTAGTGAAGAAAAGGCAAAGAAATAGAGATTACGCAGATCAATGTACAGCGCAGGCAAGCTGTCATCGGCTAGTTCCGTTGCGTTTTGTAGTTACCTAATCACTGATTTGTATTGCTACTAGATTTGCTCTTGTTTGGTTCCAGTTAGCTCAGTTAGCTTTTTTTTTTTTTTTTTTTTAATATCATCTGTTTTTGGCTTTTAAGAAATCAGTTCGGTGAGTAACCCTATGGACGGCAACCCTTCCCCCTCCCGCGGAATGCATGAGTTGGTAAAAATGATTCAAAATCTATTGAATATTAAACAAAACTGACCTGAAAAAAATTTCAACTCAATGACCAACTGATCCAGTTGCTCGAAGAGTTTGTCGATACTGATACCTAGCCGATGTGAAGTGATAACAAATCTCAGCCCTTTAACGCTTTTGATTCCTGATTAAGAACCTGGGAATAAGTACTCAGGTTAAAAGGAATATTGGGAATAAGTATTCCTGTTGAAAGGAATGAGTTTCCAAGCAGAATAAATTAATAGAACGTTTTGAATTGCGTTTAAGGCTCCGGTTGTTCGAAGCATGGATAACGCTAACCTCTGGATAAATCTCTATCCGGTGGATAACGCAGTACGTTCTGTAAACACTTATCCACTGGATAGCAATTTATCCGTTGGATAGTGTTATCCGGCCTTTACACAACTGGACCCTGGTGAATAGAACCTTTTTTTTAAGCGTTGGGGCCATGTTCTTAACGCTGAGAAACCGCACTTTCCACATATTATGGATGAGCTTGCATCATGTAAGGCCCCATTTCAGTAGAGGGAGGAAACGTTTTGACGTCAGGGGGAAGGGAAGGGGACGTACCTTGAGGGTATTAGGACACGTTCTTGAAGGAAAAGGTTTCGCGTTTTTCAGGCAAAGGAAGCCTGTGAATCTGAGAGAAATGTGTATCAAACATACAGGAAACAAAGGTTCCACAATAGAGCCAATAACACGAATGTACACCATTTTATACGAAATTTACAATATGCAATATACGCTTACACAGTAATGAAGGGTATAGAGTTCTTGTATAATACTGCTTTTGGCTCGATCACTTATGTACAGGTATCAGTATGTTAACACGTATAATGTATACTCCAATAAATGGTTTTAATAAAAACATATGCGAGATCCAAACAATTGTATATCGTCTGGGAAGAACTGTAATCCTCTCTTGACCAAGTACTATTATCTAATTTAATCACTGCTCCAGAACACGTTTGTTTTATTCACTTTTACGGAATTCCTTTACGTTTGTAAAATTATTACATTATATATTATTTATTACAAAAATATCAAAAATTAATATGAAAGTCCGAAGAAGAGTTTCTTGAAAAAAGAAACATGATCAATGCCTAAAAAATAAGCACTTTCGACCTCACCAAATAATCATACACCTCATTAAATGGCTAATTTTGACAAAATAAAATATAATTCTTTTACACTTGTTTTGATAACGGTAATAATAATAATAGTAATCCGCTCATGTTCGTTCGATATGAGACTACTCATTTCTATCGTATTATTGGGGAAGTATGATAATTTTCTATAATCATAATATTCTCTGGTCGGTACGTATAAAAAGCAATGTCTAATCGATAAATACGAAAAAAAAACTTCTTGTGGGATCAAAAAAAGATATAGCATATGACATACGGAGGACAGGCTGTCAAATACAAGTCTAAACAGTATTTTACAACAACCAATTAACCAATTCGGCAAGCCCGCAGAACAAACTTTATTTTTCAAGCGAAAGGCGGCACGCGCGAGTCGAACATAAAGAACGAGTAACGCGCGAGACAAATAGATACTCCGAACTCGCGCACGACTTCCCTTTCGCGCTCGTCTGAAAAACACAATAAAAATTGGCGCATGTTCTGCATGCTTACCTTGGCGGGCTTCAACGACCAACGGAACGGTTCATGCATCTCAAAAAATAATGGAATAAAATACGAAGAAATTCTACATCCTTTTGGGTTTCTTCTTAATAATTATCTTTTTGAAAACGCCATCAACGATTGTTAAGAGATTTCCGTTAAAAAACTTCATATTTTTTCCACCAAATTTGAATTGCAACGAAGCCCACTGAATACTGAACTCCTTGATACTTTTCTCTTCAAGGCCAGATTTCTAAAGCGACGGAGTAGGATCGGAGCCGAAGTCAGAGCCGTAACTAGCGTTTGTCGGACATTCCGTTGATAAAAAAAAGGCGTAAGCTTCAGGGAAGCTGAGTTGGAATTAGCGGTAAGAACATTTCAATTTTCTACAGCGTAGGATCTGTCTCTCCAGTAGTGACCCTGGGTTCCGGACACCCTTTCAGCATGGTATCCCGAGCACGTGCAGACGTAAAACTGCCGCTGCGACCCTCGCCTTCTGCGTCTACGTGTGAAGTATCCAAGAAGCGTTCACCCTCGATTGCCTGGCGAACCTGTTGTTAAAATATATATCACCCATCACAGATATATTTAACTTGTAAGCAGTTACTAAGAGGACAGATAAGTATTCAAAAACAGCTTATATTTCTAGGAAGCTATCAGGAACCGAAATAAAACTTTTGAGAGCTACATAACTCAATTCCGGAGGTTCAGTTTTCTTTTTGGATTTTTTTTTTCAAATTTAATACTCTCACTTGTTTATTTATTTAGTGGCAAGCGATTTAAACTTCAAGTGAAGTAGTTCAGCGACCGTTGAAATGAAAACCATTTGGTGCATAAAAATTCTAATGAAACTTTGCGCACACATACATATATCATGCACAGACATCAATCAAGCTGTGGAAAGTAGTTATGGCCTGCAAACCTGTGGGTAATATCACATTGTATGAAAATTTGAAGGAAAGCTACGACACAATTTCCGTCTTAACTCACACAGTGATCACTTCTTAACGCAATTTCAGGTTTTTCATTTGGTCTGTTCGTTTCTTTTATCTCACCTCCTTCAGAGCGACCACGCCCACCAGTCGTCCCAAAGTGGTCACATAGGCATGCGATAAGTTAAGTAGCGCGAAAAGCTTGTGAACCTAAGAAATTTAAAAGATTAACATCAGGGAGGGCTCAGTGAGATCGAAGTTGAGTGAAGAAACTACTGGTAATGCAACTGAAAGTTTCGTAATAGACGAGAAGTGACAATTAAAATAACATATGTTCGTTACAAAACACATAAGGATAGATAAATAATATGCCGTTAAAGCAAAAGAGAACATTTCTCTGTCGCGTCCAATTTCTGAATACACACCACCTTCAAATAAGCGCCCTGCTCGAACATGCGCCGTACTTGAGGCGTGAAAAATCTAATGAGCGCCACGGCGCTTATTTGAGCAAATATGGTATTTCTCAATACCTTTAACAGCGACGTCCTTTCAACTAACTGAAAAGGGGCTGGATCAATCTGACAGTTACTGTAGTCAATAGGTCTCTGCAAGAGTTCTTTTTCCCACTGAAGTTGCTGCACAGTAATAATAATAAGAAGTGAAAGAAAATAAGAAAAAACTTAGCAGCGAGTGAGTGTTACCTCACCAAAACATACTCAAATTCTCTCAACCAATTCAGAAGGAAATGTATGGTTGCTGGAAGGGAAAAATAGAAATCGGATATTGGCAAAGTAAGGCCTTACTGACTCACCTGATCCACAGTTGGACTGTCTTTATCAGGTGCATCTGAGGTTTTCTACACGTAAAAAAAAAAACCAACCAACAAACAAACAAACAGTCAAATCCTTTCTTGTGTCACACTCATTTCTTGTGTCACACATAGGATTCAAATGGCGACTCAGTCTCTATAGTTTCCCACTCTTTGAACTCTCAGTGGCTCCTTCAGACATTTTACTTATTCTGATTGGACGTTCTTTTGCACTTAAACCACACCATTCAATTCAACATTTTAACAAAGGTTCGCAAGGAGTTTGGTATAAATATAGAATCAAAAGTATATAAACTGCCAAGGGAATCGTATTAAAACGAATAAAATACATAGTCATACGGTTTTATCTTCCTACCTCAGCTTCATTAAGAGCTGACCCACTACCGAAGAGTTTGTGGAGTCTTGTAGGAACTAACAGGAAAAAAAATGAATAAAAGGGTGTAAGTTTCTAAAGAAACTGTGGTGTTGCAGCGGTGGGAGAGTATAACAGGGTATTTTGGTATCGTTAATTGAGTTGATAACGTTAATAGGCCACCGTAAAGAGTTTCAAAGCTGACGTTTCGAGCGTTAGCCCTTCGCCGGAGCGAAAACAAGCAGCTGTTGGTTGTATCGATACATCTTTAATAGCTAGCTTATCAAATCCTCAAAACCCTTCCCACGAAGCAAAACTTTTTCTTTAGTATTATTATTATTATTCTTAATACTAATAAAATTTAAATCTGATTCTATAAGCTTAAAGGTTAGATAGCATACTGCTCTATTAAAGGTTCACCATTCAAGAAGTTAACTTTGCGTAACATAGCCAATATTACCTGGAATTTTCTCCAGCAAAGACTTTCCAGTTGATGATTTTTGAGGTTGACTATCCTGTCTCTAGATTAAAAAAAGAACAAATCGGCTAAATAAAAAGGTGTGAAAAGCCTTTCAATCTTCAATTTGAATGCTTTCCCCATGGTGAAGTAAAGTATTTGAATTTGCCAGTTCAATTACTTATTACACATTCCAGTGCACATTCATTTCTGTGCAATATGCAAGCTATACAATGTACTATTAGGGGAACGCATTGATACTTGAAAAAATTGTTATTGATTCTTTACTAAATATAGAACTCATTTTGCCACTGGGACACTGCATTTCATTGTCACTCATTGCCGCTATGAGATGTAAATATCTCCTTCAATTAATTAGTCCAATAGGTATATACTAAGGAACTATTTCCTACAATACCACTACCTCTCTCTCTCTCGTAAAACGTTTCTCCTGTAACCAATATCAAATAGTTATATTTCATACTTTTAACGTTATTTCAGCTGCCACCTCCAGTTGAGCTGCTGATGGTTGGGTATTGCGGCTCTGATCACTGAGGAGAAATAAGAATGATATAAGCAACATCAGGCGGAACAAAACAAAGCTATTTATAACTCGATCAGCTTTTCAATACACACGAAAAGCTAAAATCAATAAAAAACATGAAAAAATGCTGAGTTGAATACGTTGCAATTTTGAGCCCTGAAATTACGTAACTATAAAGCCACTAGTACTTCATATCCATGCATATCATGTGCTACACCAATAAATAAGCAATTTCTTACTTCACAATTATGTTCTAATTTCTAGTATTTTTTGGTATACTCCACCATTATTGTTGTCTGGTCTCATTATACCATATGCTATCTCACATGATCGGACCACACTACTGCTGCAAAGCATATTGGGTGATGAGAAAAAAAAACAATAGCTGTGAAGGAGACTCATAATTCAGCTTCCACTTTTTTTTTAAAAATCTTGCATAAAATGAGACAATAATTATGAAATCTGTTGATTATAGGAGTGCACATGGCATTGAAAAGTCATGGATACATTGTGAGGCCACATATTTTGTTCCCTCACTTGATGAAACATGATAATAATAAATTGGTTGTATTTACATGAAAAAGTTTGCTTAGATCCCTGATTGCTAACTTAATTCTCGTTTAAAGAAAGTTGGGTACGAGCTCTAGATGAGTTGGTGGCTGAATACCAGAGTACAGTGTCTAGAGTCTGAACTACAGATGGAGTGCACATAGTCAGAATTTCATGAAATATTTCCTGGGAAGTTGATTGGAAATCATTTATACTACAGGATGGAGAAAGGTGCTGAGAGCAAAATGAAAAACACAAAACAAGCTAAGGTCCCTCTCCACTCCTGAACCTCTCTACTCAAATACAGAGCTAGATATTAAGATTTTAAGACATACTCAGATTGTAACTGTGGAGGATCTGGTGTTTCTGGCCTTGCACATAATGCATCTTCACTCTCTGCATTACTGCTGGACTGGTATAGTTTTTGCATGTGCAGATTTAAAAGAGATTGCAGCTGAGGTCGCTGAATGGAGCCAAGAAGGATCATTGAATCTAATAATCAGATCAAAAGCACCAGTCAATTGAAGCTTATAGAGCAATCTATTGTCTCTCTATTGTAACCATTTAAGGCCAGCCTACCGATAAACATAGATTATTTTTTCATTAAGACTATTCAGGCCTGAAACTTTAAATGCATATTTTCAAGTAACATCACCTTCCCCCAACCATCCCATGAAGTCCCAAGAGCATTCCCACTTATTAGAACAATGTGCTGGCATTGAAAGACAATTAATAGATTTGGTACTCTGCTATATTTTTAGTCAACCACAACATATCTTTATGCTCCACTAGGTCATAAGTAACCTATGCTTGGGTTTCAGTCTATTCCAAACTTGCAGAATACCTATGACCTAATTTCCATGACTTTCTCCAAGACTTTTTTTGATATTTGCAAAAACATAAAACTGAAAATGTTTCATTCCACGTTATAAGTAAGGTATGTGAAAATGAGCATTAGGTAGATCAGGTATTCCTTGCTTTTTGGCCTACATAATGAACTATCCTGATTTGTACAGTAAACTTTATGATTTTCCATGATCCACATTCAAATTCTAAGACTTTCAATGACTTCAGGATGAAACTACAAACTTCTGCAAGTTCTCATAATATTCATAATGTGGATAATGTGGGTAAACCCTACATGTACATGGGCAAACTTTGCTGTACTTTAGTATCACCTTCTGAATCCACTAATGGATAAGAGCGGTGATGTGACTTATCCAGTAATTCTTTGAGGTCAGCATATTTTGAATGAAAGGAGATGTAAAAAAGATTGGTCTTCATTATGTCAGCAACAAGTAAGTTGTACACCCTGTTTAAGAAAGACGATTGAAGTTAAAGACAGATTTTCAAAAAACTTGTTTTTAGTGGTCAAAAATAGTTGCTCTTGGCAATTAATTGACAAACTATTTCTTTAACAAACAATAACTACTTTCCTTGGTTAGTTATTGGCAGGTAAAATAATGGAAGCAAAAAAAGTAGAAATTCCTTAAATCAAAATTGTGTTAATACCACTATCCTCTTTCTAACAAGAGTAAAACAATCTTGGTGACCTCAATCATTAATCACTGAGTAGTAATCAATGTTCAATTTCTGTAAATTTTAAAAATTTCTCCAAAGAAGATTTCTAGCCACTTTACACTGAATTTTCTTGCAAGCCTACAGAAAAAAAGACTCAGTAATATGATTGTTCACGTTAACATAAAGCAGTGTTTTAGTTCTAAATTTGTCATTGAAGTATCTAATTATATGAATAAAAATTAATGTACATACTGAGTTTTTGTCAAGTCAGGCAGGTATGGCAACCTCTTGATTTGAATAATGCTGTCATAAAACGATGGCTGTAACCACTGTGCAATAGCATTAGCAATCAAAACAGCAATCTACAGAATAACAAAATAATGTAAGCTATACATAGGCTTTACCATTGACAATCCAAAAACTTGGAATGTATTTAGGGTTCAAAAACTTTTGGAAGTTGTGATCATAATGGTAGTGTCAGAGGTGATGCCATGAGCTTGTTAAATTTTAGGACAAGGGATTACTCTAAAATAGCATTACAACTTCCAGTGTTCTCCTTTATTCTATTTTTATTTTATTTGGTTAAGGGAGATAGCACAGCACGCCAATGTTGTCATGTGACCTTTTCAGTGCATTTGAGAGGGGTCATAGGGGTTCTGCCAACAAGGAGCAGGTGTACTAGTTTGCTATATGTATTGTTGTGACATGCCTATCATATTGCCTAATGTTAACACTGGAGTTCCAGTAGGTTGGGTCTCTTGCTTTGTGAAAGCTGAGTGGTATGGTGTAAAAAATAATTCTGCATATGCGTAGCAACCAGTATCCTACTAACAAATTCGAAGTTTTACATATAACTAACCCTTTAACTCCTAGAAGTGATAAACATGTAACTTCTCCCTATAATATCTATACATTATCCAGCAAACAGGTAGTGAGATTACTCAAACTAATATCAGGTACAAGATATTATCTTGATTGAACACCAAATTCTTGTAACCAATTAACATTGAAATGCGTAACAGTTAAAGGAGAGAATTAATTAACAATCGGATCTTGGGAGTTAAAGGATTAACTACTGAAGAGGTAGGGGAAATTACAATGCATTGTTATCATAACTATCAACCAGACATATAATATACAAAATTTAGTTGTAATTGGGCAAAGAGCAATACAAATATAGTACAACATACCATAACAGGAAGGATATGGGTGATTTGTCCTGTGAGTTCAAACACAATCACAGATGTAGATATTGTGTGGGTAACGGCTGCTGACATAGCTGCTGCTCCTGTTTCACCATCACAAAAAAAATTTGTGTTACCTGATAAAAGGCTACCACAGCACAATGTTGATAGCCACCAAAGGAAACTCTAATATGATTTTACTTACTTTGAAAAAAATAATAATTTGTAGCAAAAAAAAAAAACCAAAAAGAATAGACTCTTTCCAGTTGTTGATTTCATTTGGTGTAAGTCAAGACTGTAATGCAACAGTGTTTTGTAATGTGTAATATAAGGAGAACATACAGATTAATTTCAAGTTAATTTCATTCTTTTGCCGAAAGTGTGCAGGAGAATGTATCTGTTACCTGAGTGTAGTTGTACATACTACTGAAACTGAAAAGTCAAACAGACATTTAACATGCCTCAACCTGTACTTTCCTATGCTGTGAGCATGAAATATCTTATTTCAATTTTAAATCATAAGTCAAGCCTTTAAAACAGTTATGACACTGTGATGTTTTATGAGTAAATAGGTCAAAATAAAAATAAATAGGGAGAACTTTAAAGTAGGAAATCTGCAGAGTAGTTGTTTAATTCAAAGTTGAATTGGAAGTTGGCTTTTGTGCTGGGAGAAAACCCTTGTGGCAAGGAAGAGAATCAAGAGCTCATTCCACTGTACTATCCTTAGTCCTCGAATACACTACAGCTAGCTGGCTTTGCACTGTGTTCATCTCCTTACCAACAACAGCATATCCCCCTGGAACCACAGGTGAAACTGCATCCCCAGAGTTCACACCATTAGGAAACCATGTCGCCATGGCTTCTCCCACAAGCCGGCCAAATGCTGCACCTATAGAAAATCAGTCAAGAAGATAGAGTAATCATGAAAGGGGTTTTGATTCCATTGAATAAAATACGCAACAAAGAGAACTACTGGAAAGTGTTATTTTGACATACCTATTAAAAATACAGGAAAGAAGACGCCAGCAGGAAAGGGCATTGTAACTGATACAGCTGTCATAATGAACTGAATTAAAATAAAAAATACATCAATACATAAAATACATCATTGCTTAACAAATTTTGTATGCAGTAAGTCAAATTAAGCAATGATCCTTGCAGGCTGCTTCAATTTAAGCAGTTGTAGAAAAAATTCAGGCTTTGAGGGGATTCAACTCTTGCCCCCCAGATTCTAGTTGGGGCAATTACCAACTAAGCTATGAAGCCACATACTAGGGTGGGAGTGAGGCAATTTTTTAGAGGTACTCCTATTCCACTGAGGAATCTAATCACAATTTTAGATGATCACAACTTTAAATGAAAAAAAATTATTTTGAATAAAATTCATATCTTTTTAAACGACACTTAAACAAGGAATGCTCCCTTGATGTGATTCTGTTGGAACAGAATCTGGTACTGGCAGACAGTTTGCAGTGGAAACCATAAACACCAAAAATACTTAATATGGAATGTTATTGTGCTCTAAGGGAAAAGCCCATCACGCATCAGAAAACTGAAGTGCAACCAGCAATCATTATGGTAATAAATGTGTGGTTTTTGAAGTTTGTCCTCATGTTCTGAACTTTATCTTGATTACTCAGTAAACAATTGATCTGTCAGAATCAAATCCAAGTATTCTAGTTTCTTAAGTTTCACAATACATGAGACATTGCTGCTAAAAAAATCAGCCTTCTTTTGAATTTCAAAACCAAGGGACAAAAATTTGTATTGTGAATTTTTGACAATTAAAAAAAAGAATCCCATGAGAGCTGCGATAAAAAAACATATTTTTTGATACCCAACAACTTCACATGACAACTCTTTCCTAACAATTACACATACCTTCAGGACAATAAATATAACCAAGGTGACATAGATATTAGTGTTGGCTCCATCCCAGTGCTTTAAGACATTTAGACTAGCTTGATCATCAGAATCTCGTGCTTCAGACCATGTGATGTTTATGAAGAGTTCATCTATTGCTTGCTTTTGAGTCAGCTATCAAGAGAACAACAATTTAAGTCAGTGTTTTGCAAACCTTTAAAGTCCCTGTACATACAGATATCCAGCATTGAGGAAGGCCTTATTGCCTGACATCTAGCTTGTTGACAACCTCAAATACCTAAAGCATATTTTGCATTACTGAAGTTGATAGCAATGAGATTTCAGAACAGTTTGCTTTTCCTGTATTTAACATTGTTTCTGATTACAATAAAAAACACTGGACAAATATGAAACTCAACTTTGTTTGAAAGAGTCTTGACCAAAAAATACTTTGCACAACAACATGTCGATTTAATACTTGATCAAAACTGTGACAAAATTCTTGAACTAAATTAGTCATCACAAGCACAATTTGAACAGTAATAAGACAGTGCACACATCATGCTTGCAGTAATTATCATGTCTGTATAAGTGGACAGAATGCGTCATGTGCAGAGGCTGTTGTCTTGCATTTTGCTAAGTTAATTGTTGGTTTTTTTATGAAAACATATATTTACCGATGTCTAGTTTCTTTCTCAAATTTTGTCATAGTCTTGATTAAGTGGTAACAGGACTTCATGTCATCCAATTTTGTCTCTAATCATACTATTGTCAGTGTGATTAACTAATTGGATTCCCACTTTGCGGTCATCTGATTTTGTCAACCACCTGTATGATTACAGACTGAATTGGACTCCACTCCATCCTATTACCAATTTAAATACACTAGCTCCACCTCTCCAGCCATGAATTGTCCAAGTCCTTTGGGAAAAGTGATTGTTGCAATGATAAAGACAACAACTGCTGGATATACAAAGCGGCTGCAACAAAAATATTGTATATCAAATATCTGCTTTGGTATCTCTTAATTTCTGTAGGTAATTCCCTTTATTGTTATAGCCTATTTCTGCTGCACACAATCTTCATACCTGGTTAGAATGCACACTTAAAATAAATGGTAGCTTTTACTTTAGCTGGAGGCTTGTAAGTGATGTAAATTGTGACTTAACTTTCTAGTAAAAGGTTAACACTTCTTCTTTTTATTTCAAAATCTTGATCTAGTTGAACCACATTTTTTAATGTGAAGAGATTTTCAGCAAAATGTAAGGCCAATTTAAGGATTTGTCATGAAAATGAAAAAAATGCCACCCATACCACAGAAACAAGAAGTGATCCCTCTCTTAAATGGCATTTTAATCATTTCCTCAACAAGCAACAAATTCAAGTGTAACTAAAAGATATTTGATAGCAATCTTTGACAAGTTCTGGAATATCTTGAGTTAGCAAATATATTTAATGTAATTAATTTATAACACCAATCAAACTTCTTAAAAATTCAACATCAGAGTGATGGTGATCATCAATTAGTACCACAATTCTTCCATCCCAAGGCTGAACAAAAGTTAAATTTTCCTATTCAATATTAATACATTTTGAAGTAGAAAAGTGATGAGAAATAACAAAAAATATGAACATGAGGACATTGTTTGATTTTAATACCTGATGCAGAGAGGAGAATTGATGTCCAATCCTTTGACACCTTAGAGTGACAAGCATCTAAATTTTTCTTAACAATATCACCCCTGAATCAATCATTAAGATCACAAGGATAGCGGTCAAAATAATCACCAACTGAAGAGCTGTTGATCATTGGACAAATTCTCCTTGTCAGCATCTTAGGAAATGTATGGAGAATGGTATGGAGACTATGCAATCCATAATGATTTAAGGGTGCAAAAGGTTAGATATTGGGAGAGAAAGAGCTATCCACACTAAAATACTCAAGACATGCAGATAGAAAACTTACTTTCTAGCAAGAAATTTTGCCACCTTGGTGTGTTTGTGAGTTCTGTGAAGGTCGACAAGTTTTCTGTGTGTGAAGACAAACAAAGCTCCTCCAAAGCCACAAAACAACCTAAAAAGGAAAAGTTTTTGCAGCTTTGTTACAATGTTAAATCAATGAATAGATTATGTGTTGCAGTATATCTGTTCAGTAATAAATCACAGATGACTATAAAATGTGGTAAGAAAAAAGATATAAAATTACATATTAACTGATGTTCTTACCCTATTGATGCAAATGCAATGAACTCTTCCACATCAAATGGAAAGTCCAGCCTAAAATTAGTCTTGAAGAGAGCAGTGACAGTTTCTAGTGAAGAAAGAGGTCAGAGTTTTAATGTGTTCAGGTGTTCAAGGCAAAAAGAAGTTGTTTCTATCAACAGCAACTTGTATGTGGTTCCTCAAAATGGTCATACCTTCTTCTTTATCAAATACAGCTAGTAGACGGAACATAAGAGCTCCACAGACAGCAGCAAAAAAACCACGCCAATAATTTCGAACAGCAAAGTAAGTAGCAGTAACCTCAATACTGAATAGTACCCCTAGAAAGAAAGAGCAAAATTTAATTCAAAGAAAACTAACCAGAAATACAATTAACAGTTATCCATTGAGAAACTTCACTACCAGGTTTTTTAATTTTTTGACAGAATAAAACCACACATTGGGTAAAATGGGTGATTCAGGCCCTATGGATGCTACAGTAGATATATTTGAAAACAACATCTCACAAGGAGAATGCAACAAAATGTTCCTGTTCACTTTAAAAAATGGACAAAATATTTTCCAGTCACACTGCAACCATTATTAGACACAGCTGCAGAAACCCTTAAATGCAACCCAGTACATGCAAGAGAAGAGATTTAAGACAAAACTGGTGCTATATATTAAACAATGCATGAATAAGTAGTCAATGTGTACCTCCAATGGGAGAACCAAAACAGCTTGAAACACCAACAGCACAAGCTGCCGCTAACATCTCTGTATTTCTGGACTCATTCTACAAATTAAGTAACACCATTTTCCTTCAATAAACCACACTTTCAGCATTGAAATATTGCCTTCTGGCCAATACTAGGGAAAACAAAAACCTTACCGTGTATATGCCTTTAAATGATGCCACAAATTTTCCCATAGATCGTGCCACCATACTTGCTATGTGTACAAAAGGACCCTGTTGATAAAAAAGTGAAAAGCAAACATTTTTAAGCAACAAGCTCCACAACCAGACAAGAAATCAATTTCTTATCTCTCCCTTCCTTCAGCTCATCACAGAAAACCAACACTTACTTCTTTTCCAATGGGAATACTACTTCCAAGAGCAGTAAGAAGACCAACCTATACAAGACAAGAGACAAATGAAAGTGTATTATTCTGAATCATGCGCACCAGGTCATGTGACATTAGTTGTGACAAGGAGAAATAGCAACTATTCACAACTATCTTCTTAAGCATGATAACTAGTCCTAAAGAAGCTACATTCCAGCTTGCATGATTTTAATAAATAAGCCTAGCTTCATTATAAAATTTTAATCTGCCAGCTATTTTAAAAAATTTCTTTTTTCCCAGATTTTTGTTAATTAGTTCAGAATCAATACTATGTTGTGATGTATTTTAACCCTTAAATACACCCTAAAATCAGTCAGCATATTCTACATAATAATATATACTGTTCTCTATACATTCCTCAAGATGCTGACAGGGAGAATTTGTTTTTTAATCAAGAGCTTCCTCAGTTTGTGACCATTTCCTTCCTTCTCCTGACCTTAATGTGTGATTCATGGCTGAAGTAATGAAATAGGAAATTAGATGCTAATCAATCTTAGGGTTCAATTAGGATTAATCTCTTTCAGCTCTATTGGATAGTTTTGAAGGGTACACACAAATGGCCTTCTGAAAAGTTTTACAAGGCCCTTTTACGTATACAATAGTCCTGACAGAAATAAACAAAAGTGACAAATAGACATCAAACTATCAGGTTATAAAATATCAAAGTAAACCTGTCCATTAACATACCACTTTTGCAATCAATGTTCTTAGTGACAAGTAACGTTTCAAAACTGTTCCCCTTAAAATAACCTTCATCTCAGGAATGCCTGAACCTACAGAGATACAAGGGTATAAAAAAATTGATAAATAAATGTTTCTGCCAAAAAATCAAGAGTTGATAAATAACTATACTTTATTAACTATTAATACTAATTTTATAGTTACTGTATTGACATTCCGCAATGAATCAAATTGATCTACAGTCAAATTATGATTTATTTGATAAACATATTATGGTATATTACATGTGTAAGTGTTCAGATTCCTTGGCAGGGAACACATGACCCACTGAAGTTAAGCTTGAAAAATTAACTTTTGCCTGAAAGTGTGTAGCTTAAACAAAGCTGTGGTTTGGTTAGGCAAGTATACAGTGAATGAACTAAAACAATAACAAAATTTTCAATCAAAAGCAAGTCAAATAACACTTACTCTTGAAAATGCACTTTGGAGAATGCCAATCATTTCACAGCTCAAACATGTTCACACAGTTATTAAAACAAGGTCTAATTTAGGCTGTGGTTTTTGCCAATCAATGGACTACAAAAGTTCCTCATAGGTGGGGTTTTTGAAGTAATTAGACATTTCTTTTATAGATTCCCTTTTGACAGTTCCAGAAAAAAATGTTTGAGCGATCTTTTCTGCTTGATCTAAGATTCTTTAGAGTAAAGTTTGGATTAATAGGGGTTAAACTTTGCTATAACAACCAGCCCTTAATGTTAATTATAAACAAATTGACTACATATATATCTAAGTTGAAAATCACTTCAAGTTACATATTTAAGTACAACTAAGTTAACTAGTATGATTGGTTTACAGAGTTTAAGAACATACCTATGGCATGAGGAGAAACTAGATGAGTAAATCCGACAGAAAAGGTAACAAGGCATAGTGGAAAAGATGTCCACACAATATACTGAAGGAAGGTGTTGTTTGGTAAATTGTAAAGCCAAATATGAGCTGAAAAGTTAGAGCATCAAATGAATGAATATTGCTTCATAATTACAATATACTACCATAAGATTTCAGAGACATTTACAGACCATGAAGAAAGGGAGCATGTAAGTAAATCTATGGACCCTTTTGCTTCATTTATTTGTGGTCATACCCAGTCTCCCATCTTATCTCTACTCTGAAGACCAACCTCTTTAACACTATCCTTTATCTCTACCCTTCTCCTCTCATTTCTCACTTATTCCAACCTTGTGCCCCTGGAATCACTTTGCTGGCCCTCAACCTTTACCTCTACATCTCATCTCTTACCTCTCACCTACAGCACTTCAACCTGCCCTGTCACCTTCCCACCTCTTCTGCTATCTCTCACCCTAGGTCTCACTCTTTAATCCTATCCCTAATCCCTATCCCTCACACTGCAGCACCATCACTGATACCTACCCCTTCATCTGCTATCTCCAGCCCTTATCCCAAGCCTATTAACTCCAGCTCAACCAGCTTATCCCTCACCCTCTTTTCTCACCTAGCACTCTTACACCTTAATCTTTATTACTGGCTCTGACTTTTCATCTATATCCACTCACTGCTCAGCTCTCTAACCTGTTAAGTCTATCAATAGTTCGGTTATTTGCTCACAACTTACAACACATGTTAATCAATAATCACATCACTTACATACATTTCACAACATTAATATTCACAGTTCACATACAGTCATGCAATTGTGGCAATCTTTTCCCATGATGGACGCATCCTTAAAGATACAACACTACATAACCCCTGTTTTAAAAACCTGCTGTCTAGAGAGCCAAAACAAAAAAAAAAACAAAATACACAAAATACACAAAAGATAAAAATTAATGTATCTCAACACACCTGTCTGGCACTTATCAATGGCTAAGTCCAACACAAAGCTTATTAGTGCCATGACAATTCCAAGGACCAGAAGAAACACCCAGTCACTTCCCAAACGACTCCAGCAAGGTCGCAACCTCTCAACAAACCCTGCAAAAACATAAAACCATTTTTAACAAAACAATCAGTTTGGGGAAGTGGCTAATCCCTGTACAACCTAACATTAGTATGCATATTCTCTATATGGTATGTAATACTCTACAGTAAACTGTCCTTTTGCTTGCAAGTCATTTTGTCTTTGAGTTGTTTGTGCAGAATCTTTTCAACAGGATTTTTGTATATCACACATGCAATTTGCATAATACAAAACCTGGGAATGCATGTCTTGTGTGTAAAATGGGAATTTTATTCATTAACTTCAAGTCAAAAAGCGTACAGTCTCTAATCAAAATTTTCTACAATGCATTTTATTCTTTAAGGTAAACAGCATCCGCCCAATTTCATCAAAAGTATTTGTGAATATTTTTACCAGCAAGAAATAAACTAGAAAGTTTATAATCTAAGTCTTTGACAAATAATTTAAAGGTATTTTTTCAACCCTGGAAAAAAACTTTCACTAACCATAAGTGTTTACTTTAACTTTAATATAACCTTCATAGCACTGTATTGTTAAGTAGAAGAGCAAGGTTGATTTCACTGAGCTTCCAAAGATTCTTGTGCAAGATCAATTCGAAAATAATTTTCAAACATACTAACTGTAATTATTGACAGAAGTTATAATTCTTTACAAAGTAGTAAAATGAAAGTGTGAATTTCATTTAGCCTGTGCCATGGCCTTGCTAAGGGGAGATGACTTGAAGAACAGACTGGTGAAAAATGGCAAAGATAGCATTTTTTTTAAATAAAGAACAACAACGAGCCTTGCAGTTTTTCAAATTTAAAATAATTTATTTTCTTTATCCTCTTTCTGTTTGGCATATTTTGCTTCTTCAAACCACACTGAACGTTTTTCAGTATTTTTCACGCTTACATCAGGGTTTCACGTTTCGACCAATCACAATGCGTATTTTTAGATATGACGAGAGCTTTAGAAGATCGAAATCTACATGACCTTTTTATGAAACAAGTTCGTACGAGAACAGGTCTTGAAAACCGCCTAGCCGACGCTTTGAGTTTTTAGCTGGTTTCTCTCCACAAGCATGGCTACCACCTCTGATGCTGAAGTAAGTGAAAGTGGACGACAAACAAAATAATTCTGCAGACGAAAATGCAAGCTGGGTTTCCGTAATTATTTTGAAGGTCGCTATCACCACACCTACGACTGGGATTTTCAAAGTTCTCTTTCATCGACAGTTGTATCGTTCTTACTAGTTAGTTGCCTTTCGCTGATTCAGTCAGTCAATTTTATCAATTTTCATTTAAAACGAATGCCTGAAATAGGACATAAAGCTGTGAATATTGTGATCAGACACACCGACAATGCACAATCGATCAACAATGTACTTTCCACTACGATGAGTTCAGAATCTTTCGTAACTGCACGGTTTTATCACGGTTTCAGTCGATTTTCTCGCAACCGATCGTGTTAAAATACCTCTTGTTTGCATAGAAGCATACACCTTGAATCAGCTTTCAGCGAATTCCCGTCGCCTTTACTTGTTCGGATCAAAATGGCAACGAAATCAATCCATGTCACGCAAGTTGTGTTCATGCGGTGGAATATCTACAGTGTTCACGGAGACAATTCAACATTTCCCGTAAAGCCTCTCGAATGATATAAAAATGGCAACTCGTAATTACTTCGAAACATTTCGATCGAGGGCATTTTCGGGCGCGGGTTGTTGTTAATCCTCAGCGACTTAGCCTCTCTTTCGAGATGTATACAACTGGAATGGACTGTGGGCCAAGGAATAGACTCAACCTTTTAGCTTTTTCGTTAAGTTTTCCGTTTTCCACCGAAAGAGAATCACTGCTTCGAGCAAAGACAGAATACCCTGTCACTTTGGTCCACCTCATTTACATGTGTTGGGAGGCTTTGAAGGACAAGGCATAACACAGTAGACGCTTTTCTTAATCAATAACATGCAATTGAGTGGCAGAGTATTCTGCAGTTTAGCCTGCTTTCAAATTTATGACCATTTGTGACTCATTTTTCGACTCATATGAGATAAACTAGGCATAACGTTACAAAATTTGACAGGGCAGTAAAACCTACTCAGCAGGTCTGCATGCCTCAAATTATAAATAAACTTGCTCCACAAGTGTTTGAAGTGAACTTGATATTTATGTGTGTGATTACATGTGTTGGGAGGCTTTGAAGAACATGGCATAACACAGTAGACGCTTTTCTTAATCAATAACATGCAATTGAGTGGCAGAGTATTCTGCAGTTTAGCCTGCTTTCAAATGTATGACCATTTGTGACTCATTTTTCGACTCATATGAGATAAACTAGGCATAACGTTACAAAATTTGACAGGGCAGTAAAACCTACTCAGCAGGTCTGTATGCCTCAAATTATAAATAAACTTACTCCACAAGTGTTTGAAGTGAACTTGATATTTATGCCTTGAGGGCACTTATGCATAAAGTATATAGTTAGGGAAACCAAGGGAAATTCTGTGTAGAAGCTAATTGACTCATCCTAGTTTCTGTAGTTTTAAAGGACTACAGATGTTCAATACTGCTATTCCCCCGGAATAGGATGCTAGTTTATCACATGTAACACCCCCCCCCCCCCCTCCAAAAAAAAAAATGTTTGGACTGCCCATGAAGTTTATTGCTCCCATTTACATTTCAAGATGGAGAGGCTCTGACAGCACAGGGTGTTTTGGATGATGTACGCAAGGCCAAAATCTAAACCTCTCAAGTCAGGAGTCACAAACACCAACCATTATCCTACCACATGTCCAATGAAAAAAAGAAACTTACATTAATATTCCATATTCTTTTGCCTTTCACTCAGAGACAAGAAGATTTTAAAGATGAAGATGCCAAGGAAGAATCAAAAGGAATATGTGGACCAGACATGTGGTACTCCCCAAAAGGAAAATCTATCCCTTGTGCTATTCTTATCGTCATCTTGTGGATAGTATTTCTTCCCTTTGTTATTATATTTGGATTTTCTGTGCTCCTGTGGCTTTGCCTTTCAAAATGCTATACATATTTCTTCATGGCAGGTCTTCAGAGTTCAAGAAATGTTGAAGGACCAAATTAATGTGTAACAGAATACTGTACACAATTAGCAACCATCTTGCAGAACATTAAAAAAAAAAATTCTGCTTAATGATGTAGAAAATATCAGAAACGTATAACTGTTCAAATACTGTTATCTCATTATGGTCACCGGTTTACTGGCAATACATCTCCCAGGCAATACATGATATCATTTTTCTTTTCACAATCAACTGTCGGTTCAACAGTACTGACTCGTGCTCGGTGAACATTTATGGAAAGATCAAGACGAGATGGCAACAGAGCAGTTAAACTTTCACTCTTAGTTACATTTCTTAGGACTGATTTTTTGAACTTTATGTAAAATGTGCTGTCATTTCAGTTCATTACTGCCCAAGGAGAATGTACTAGACTCTATATAACTGTAAGACAGTATGTATAAAAGTGAAGTATATGATAAATTGAAGAGGGGGCTTTAATAGATGTGACATGACACCACATCACAAATTTGTTTTTAACTATTTCACATTATTCTTATTATAAGCACAGCTAACATTTACACACATAGAGGAAGAGATAATTAAAAAGCATTTATCATCCATGCACCAGTTGTTTGGTGGGTGGCATTTTTTATTTCTTTCTGGTGGATGGCACAGTTCTGTTTGCTTTGTTAACACTTATCTGCTGGATGGCAATTTATCTGTCGACTGGTGATGTCCTCCCTTTGAACAACCAGGGCCCAGAGATTTTAGTTTTTTGGAGATATAGAAAATTTGTTACACAAAAAAATTATTAACATCGTTTTGCCTTGTACAAGCTATTTGTCTTAAGTTAATGTCTTGATATGGATTTACACACAGAGATAGTTCTTTTAAAGTAAAGTCACACAAATTCCTGCTTTCTCTCATTCTTTCACATAAATTTTGCACACATGTAAAGCTATGTTCACAGTGATTTCCTGTTCACTTAATTTCATGGTTTTTCACTTCATTACAACATTTGACGAATAAAAGTGTTGCAAAATGTAATGTAACAAGGTACATGTACCCACATTCCCAACTGTGCATTCAGAGCAAGAAGCATTTAATCGTGCATATAAGAACATCAAGAATCCTTAGGAAATAATTTAACTTTTTTCCTTAAGATCAGACATAGGGTGAATCAGCTGAATCAAAAAATACCTTTCAGCAGTGAAATAACTGAAAAAGGAACATAGAATTTCCTTCTATGTTGTTACCAATTTAAAACCATTTAAAGAACGTATAGCAAGTAAGATTTATTTTTTTGGTGGGTGGGTTGAGATGTGACACTGTGTACCTAATGTTTTCACTTTTGTAGCAGAAAAAGAGCATAACTTTCAAAAGAACAAAAGTATTGCATGTACTCCACCTTACAAGAAAGAAAAAAAAAACCTGATTTATCTGAACTCACCCAGATATTTTGTGATCTGTTGTTTCTATTGTCTAACTACTTCTAAGCAAAAATAAAATGCATCTGTGCCATGTGTACTGTTGTCTCTGCAGCTATTGTTTGTTCTTGTTACACAATGCCATTTATTCCCCATTGTAGAGAGAGAGAGAGCATCGCATGACAAGACCAAATAACGGTTTGGAAAGGGACTACATTTACTACTGTTCCTCTAACAGAGAGAAAATCAATATAATTTGTCTACAGTTAGTTGCCTAAGAAATATATTTCCACATAATTTTACCTCGAAAAACAAACTGAAACTCTATTGTATCTCAATCAGAACCCAAGCAAAGACTAATTGTGATCTCAAATGAGTGAAGAAAAGGATAATATTTCAAAGAAGGTTACTTGTTTGGTTGTTAATTTGCAGGTTGTTTACAAGGAATTGTCATGTGATTGGGTAAAGTCCAAGGTAGCTAAAGGCTGATTTTGTTCATAGAAAAAGTCAAAACCCAGGAGAATTGTGTGGAAAATTCACTATCAGTAGTATAAAGTTTGATATGAAATTTTTCAGTGGTGTTGGATAATGCATTTAGAATACATCATAAAATGCAGGTTGTTTACAAGGAAATTGCATGTGATGAAGGGAAGTCTAAGGCAAAATGGAATTTGATTGGCAGAGTACAATTTAAGCACATGAAAAATTGCCTTAAGTTGACAAGTAGTGCAATGATTGGCTATGTTCTGATAAGACTTTGGATGTTTTTTCATAGTATGCAATCGCATGCAAGTTTTTTGGTGTGTGCATTGTGAGAAAAGGAGTGGAAAAACACACCTTAACTTAAAAATGATTCAAAAATAAATGCACACCTTTCATATCTTGTTAAATCTTGACTTCACTTGATAAGGCTCTTGCAAAGGCCCCAATCATAATGCTTATCAAATGAGCCCAAATTTTTGGTTAATGTCATTGTGCACAGCCCTCTGATTCCATGACATCATTTAAAAGAAACCAATACCCAAATGCTGTGATTGGTGCACGATATCTGAATGCTGTGATATGACTGGTGCAAGCAACATACCACTCTACATGCTAACAAAGAGTAATTTTTTTTTAAATGAAAAAAAAAAAAAAAAAAAAAAAAAAAAAAACCTCAAAAGGCAGTGTGATTCTACCCCTTGATTCCTTTAACACAATGCATCAATTTTCTTGTTTCTCCAGGAACTTGTACCACTTATGGTCCATTAATCTATTTTGACCATACATTTGTAAAATGACATAAAGGCTAAGAAAAATTAAGGTTTGTAACACCTATCCTCTCCCTCTTCATAGAATAATGTCATTCATTTCCCCGGCAATAAAAAAAAAACATGATTTAAACTGCAATGTATAATAAATTATTGCACTGTAGAATCTTTGATAAATTAACTGAGAGAATAATAAATGACAACATAGAAACTATTGTTTTGAAGAGAAAAACATATTTTCACTGATAAATTGAAGTCATAATTCAGTTTGTTGAACTCTTTAACTCCGGCAATTGATTAACAAGTAACTTCTCCCTTTAACATCTCAACATGATACAGCAAACAGGTAATGAGAATACTCAAAATTGTCGGGTAATTGTGATCTTGATTCAACAACAAATTCTCATAAATAATTTTTGATGAAATGCGTCGCAGTTAAGGGGAGAATTAACGATCAGATCTTGAGAATTAAAGAGTTATGTATTTTCTATCATCTCAATTTTGTGTTTTGTAGTTTCCTTAGATGTAATGGTTTTTTCATCATAGAAAGAGGAAGGAAAACATTTTATATACACTTTAGCTGACCATGACACATTTGGAAATTGAAGGGTCAACCCTCTAATTACCAACATCTAATTGGTAATTTCCCCCTAGCTGCTACACATTACCTTGTAAATAAGTTACAAAAATTTGGTGTTAGATCCAGGTAACAATTTGTTCCTTAATGTTGGGATCTTTGTAGGGATATTTTAGGCAAAAGTTACAAGTTGATCACTTGAGGGAGTTAAAGGGTTAACAATACTCTATCAAAAGCTCTCTTTATTCACTAAAGTTAAGACACAACTGCCCTTAGAACAGGTTCAGAGCAATAATTATTATTATTATTATTATTTTCAATTATTGAGCTACAATTTAAAAAAAAATTTAAAAAATAACAGAATGAAGGACAGTTTAAGGTTTGATATCTATTTTGTTGCTTCTATCAAAGAGAGTTCATTTAACTGCCTGGTAAATAAAGATGCAAAAAATTTCAGCATGTCCATTGGCTGAGAGAGTGTTAATTAATTCCACATGGAGTGGACAGTTCAAATTTAATAATGAAAGTTGAAAGTACAGGCAGAAAGGTGAATATCAACAAGGGATTAACTGATTCTAAGTGTAATTTAAAATAAATAGGCACTTTCAAAATGTTCAAAGACTATGTATATCCCAATGCAGCTATGCTCCAAACCATAAAGGGGGCAAGTTTCTAAAGAAAAGTTCTAAAAGAACAAGATTGTTTGGTATTATCAACTGAGTTGATAATATAAATTGGAAGCCATTAAGAATTTCACAGCTGATGTTTTGAGCATTACCCCTTTTAATGGGTAATGGGGGTGCTGAGACTAGTTTTGATGGTCTTCACTCAAAGTTGGATGTCTAAGCAAATGTTATAACACAATTTGTCCAGTAATAGGGGCACAAACCTGAACAACCACTCTCCTAGACTTATACTAAACTGTGATTGCACTCAAGTGACAAAAATTTCTTTAAGGTCTGTTAAGAAGTTGCTGTAATTTTGATGGACAAATTAGGCAAAAAGTTGCTGCAACCTCGTTGGTTGTAGAGTATCCAAAACCTTATTTTATGAATTAAACGCAATCATCACACAAACTCAGCCCAACTTGTTGGGAGAACAAAAAAATTTGTTTTCAAAGATCTTCACAAAAATTCACTTCATCATAGCATGAGACTGGCTTGTCAAGTATCCCTGTAAATCAGCATGTCACATACATGTTCTATCCTTCAAGCTTGAACATTATTTCCATAATATAATTGTTCCAGCTTCAAGTTTACTCACTTTTCACTGATCCAAGCCACGAACTGTCATAAGTTCTAAAGTCATCGTCTGCTTCTTGTTGTTCTCCTCTCCTTTGCTGCTGTTCTCTTCGTAGCCGTGCACCTTGTTCTTTAGCATATTTCTGAAGTTGTGTGGTCGTAAAACGACCATACATCTAGATATTGAGAATAACAAACAGTGAGTAAATATGACAGAATATGCTTTAAAAGAACAGCAACACAATCTGTGCATCTTGAAAATTGTTGCACAAATTGTTTGCAATCCCACTTAACCCCTTAACTCCCAGAAGTGATCAACATGAAACTTCTCCCTATAATATCCTTACATTATCCAGTAAACAGGTGATGAGAATATTCAAACTTATCAGGTAGATGTTGTTAACTTGATCTAACACCAAAATCTCATAACTAATTTACAAGTAAATGTGTAGCAGATAGAGGGGAGAATTAACAATCAGACCTTGGGAGTTAAAGGGTTAATCCTCTCCATCCTTATCTATCCTTGATCCTTCTTCACACACTATTATCTCTATTAACTTCCAGAAGTGATTAACATATGAATTCTCCCTGTAATCGTCATATATAATCCAGCAAACAGGTAATGAGAATACACAAACACATCAGGTAGAAGTTGTCATCTTGATCTAACACCAAATTATTGCAACTTCATGTAATTTACAAGAAAATGTGTCAATTCACTGAATTTCCACAAAATACTTCATGCAAACCTAATGTTGGTTTGATGATTGTTTAGAAAAGCAAAGTGATTACCATGGATTTTGAAGGACAAATCTTCAAAGCCATATAATTGCTAAAAATATTTTCTTATACCTAGCTATTTTACAATGTAAACTTCATTTTTTTACAAAGCATAGTCAGCTAGACTATGGCATGTCATTCTTCAGTAAGGTCAACATCTGTTTTGGAAAAGATAATAGACTGGTCTGCAGAATATGGCACAAAAGTCCTTTTCTGAATGCTTGTTTGCTTAGATTTAAAATGAAGCCGTGTCTAAATACATGGCAGCCACTCACAGTCTAAATGGACTAAATGCCCTGAGGTCATAAACTTTCACAGAATTTCCATAGACTGCAGGGCATTTAATCCATTTGAAGCAGTACCCAACACTCAGAAATATTGACAGTATTCCCACAAAATACCTCATGCAAAGCTAATGAGAATGTTTGATGTTTGTGTAGAAATGCCAAGCACTTCCAAAAATTACCATGGTTTTTTTAGTGGACAAATATTCCAAGCTTGTGGATGCCATATATCACTAGATCAAAAATGTTTTTTCATTTAACATCCATTTTATGGAAAGTAAAAGCACAGAAAGATTTGTTGTCTTAAATCCTGCAGTAACTTTTGGAATCGCTTGACATTCTAAACAAACATTGATGCTCTTAAGAAATTTGAAAGAACCTTTTAGTGGAAATTCTGTAAAAATTTCTGACTGCCAGACATTTTGCCATAGCTGACTGCTTTAAGACACAGGGTAAAAATTGCATGGCATGCAAAAGATCTTGTCAAGATCTATCATTGTTTACTGTCTAGTTGGAAGCCCTGCATTAGCGAGACAAAATACAATTCTTACCAAGAAGATCATTTGAAAGGAATGCTAATGTAAATTCATTATCTTATGGCATCTCTCATTCACAAAAAGTACAATATTTTGGTTCTTAAACTGGAATGACATGTAGTGATATATGATGGTCATTGAGTGACCTTTAATGTTATCATACTCTGCTCTACGACTGAGAAATACGGTGGTAAATGTATCTGATGACATGTTTTTACACCTCTTATATTAGAAAATAACACTGCGAACGACCAACACATTTGAACACATGTGATTCCTCAGGTGAACGAATCAAAACCACAGCTGATTAAACGTGACAGATATTTTTTTATGGGAAAATTGCCAGCTGTTTGTTTGATGCTCTTCTCATATATACCGATAGTGGAAGAAATAATTGGACAAGCAGCTCACTTAATAAAATCAACACGTCATAAAATAAGGATTGATTTCCTAACAATCTTAACTCGACAGTTTACGAAGGATCGTTGACAATATCAAGAAAAAATGAATAACTTTAATATTAGAATTAATATCATTGATCTTGCGAAAAGAAAGTGATGTTTATATTTTCAAAGTTGTATAAACATCCAAGCTTGAGCATTAGCCTAAATCTCTTCATAGTCACTTTTAAAAAACATAACAGTTGTAGATATATTTCGCAGGAGCTTAAAGGTAATCATAACTCTGAGTCGATGTATGCTTGAATAAAAATGATTCCTGTTGAGAAGTGAGAAACACTGAAAACGATATCTTTCCTTTCGGATAACATTGTAACCAACGAGGGCAAAATGCTTTGAATGTGTTAAAACATATATCTGTTTGTGTCTGATGCTCAATGGTTTAATTTTCCTTCAAGAATAAATCACAGCGAGTAACAATATTAAAAATTACAATCACGAAAGCGTAAGTTACACGTAGCAATGCTCATTCAAGTTACGATGGTGAAATACTTTGCCGCAGCAGATCCACACACCATTCGCGTCTGGATACAAAGTTGTTCACAATGCGAGTGAATTCATTACGGGTAGAGCAATACTACTTACCAGAGTTTGCTCAAAGCCATACGAGTCCTCTTCTTCCATCATCTTGCTTAAAGGCCACGGAAAGTCGGTTAAAATAGCGAAAAAACACACCACGTTACACTATGTGAAAACATCTTCCACTCTAGTGAGTCGCGTCCACATCTGAATTGGAATTGGCAGCAACCGCTTACCTCTATAATGCTGTCATTCGAGTTTGTCACGCAGCCTATGACGTTTGGTTGATCAAAATCCATTAAACCTGTTTTGAAGGTCATCTCCCGTATCAAATGAAAAGGGGTCAAGTTCTTTTGGCGTGGTTTTCTGCATGTAAATCTTTTTCAGGAGATCACCCTCTTCATACTGGGTAGTGTGGGAATCGCCTCGTCGCAGGACAATTTTACGGAAATTCATTTGCCCATACCATAACGGACACATTCGAGTGGAAAGGTGTCGATGATCAAACGTGAATATTTCAGTGATGCCATTTTAGTAAAATTGATTCCTTATGAAAATTCAGTGCATTAATTAATAAATTGTACTCATGGTAATCTGAAAATATTTCAATAACATTATTTTGCTCTTTTCTTCGCAGAGATACCCAAGCAGATAAGAGTGATGATGAGCATGAAAGTCCATCAGAAGTTAGGCCACCCATAGACAGCATACAATCAGAAATTCAGTCCATCAAGGCACAGCTACTGGCTTTGCAAGAACAGCGACAGGAAATTAGAGATGAAACTAAAGTAGTTGAAGAGGAAGTAAAAGTAGTGAAAACCCAAGCTGTAAGAGAGATTGAAAAAATAAAAAGGCAAGCCGCTGAACAATTGGCACTCAATAATTTTGGGCTGGAGAGATTTGGCACAGATAAAGATTCAAAATAATTTTATTGGGTATGTAGTTTCCGGCGATTTCTGCTGTTTTAAGCTTGCTTTACCATCACTGTTATTCCTGTCAAAGGAACAACAGTGACGGTAAAGCAAGAAGACGGTAAAACAGAAGAAATCGCCTGAAACTACGACGGACACAAAGGATGTGAGTAAGTGTTATTGATTTTACGTGTAAAATATTCATATTTCGAAATATTTATCGTTGTAAATCGACCATATTTCGTTCCCCATACTATTCCTTATAACGTGTTCAAATTTCCAACGGTTCCTCTCGTAACTTAACACCAAGTCATACAACGCGTGACGCGTTCATGAATTAATCGTTGGCTTTTTCTCGGTACGGGAGCTTGAGCCGCCTGTGGTTGAACGGGCTTTTAGAAGGGTCAAAGAATATGACTTTTTTGATTCAGATGCTCCTTATCTACTTAGATTCAGTTAATCAATTATTTTCTGTAGCCTGTCTTCTTACAAATTTTGAAGGACCACTGATTTTAGCTGATAGTGACAAGCAAAATGAATAAGCTTAATATATGTTGTAGTTTAAAAAAAACAGTGAAAAGTGTCAATAAAAAGAATTACATGACACTTCATAGATGTCTATGACTACCCATTTTACATAATAGTTCAAAGTGTAACAGTACTGATACTAAATTCAACATATCTTCATGTGTCATTCTACTGAGTCAACTTGGTTTATTGCTAGAATGTAAGCTTGCAATTTACCAGTTTTTATGCAAAAGCTAAATTGACTTCACAAATTATAATTATGATATGCAGGAAATATTACATTCTAATATTGTATATCCTCTGTATAACATGCATTATCACGTTTCTGTAATTGACCATAGTATGTGTTGAAGAACAGTCAGTGTATCAATGACTAAAGAAAAAACTGTCCACCTTGTCTTCATTTTACTGGAAAAATATTGAATCAAAAACAATTCTTTTGCAAAAAAACAAGTTATCATCTATGTAACTAAAGAAATCACACCAATCTAATCCAGTGAGGCCCAGTGGACATTAAACTTGATAATAGTAGATATCAGTTTTCTTTCACAAATACTGGTTTGTGGTATTATCCCTGGTAAGATACCTAACATTATCAAATGATGTCTCCCCTTCTTTTACAACTTTAATTTCTAGCAAACCAAAGGGGTTTTGACCATTGTTTACAGCATCTAGTCATACACTTTTTCATCTGGGCTGCACCCTAACCATGGGCAATCAGGATGGATGATCAATCCTGGTGGGAAGAGATTAACTCTCCCTGGTTCCCTTTGCAGTATTGGCGTAAACCATAGCTGAATGAGGTTCAAGTTCCATCCCCCTTCCCATGTGTGCTCTTTGTACATATCTGCTGGGGTTTAGCTACGTTACCAGAGAATCAAAACTGGCTACATGACGAGCAACAACTCCAAACTTACTAGTAGTGATCCTTTTCTTTCTGAGAAGATGCCCGTGTCACTTAAGCTCTGTGTAATTGTCTGTTCCCGTACTTTTGAGTGACACTTCAGTGGCCAGTCTTCTAGGGAATCAAAGATGACTTGTTGCTAATTGTTCAAGCAAACTGACATCATCAAAGGTCAGTGTTGGGAAAACCGATAGATCTTGAGTCACTTCTTCCACTAATTTTTTACGGTTGAAAGAAGTAATATTAGTCTTACAAACTGTCTTTAGCGATGTAAACTAAGCACGAAACATACGTTTGTGCACGCAATCACTCGAAAAATATCTCTACTGATCGACCATGAAATGCCGTTAAATCCCACGCAAGTCTCGTTTATGTTGCAGAATTTTCTTCCAGAGCCTTAGGAAGTCCTGATATTACAGACAAAAAAAGGAAGATGAGTTTGAAAGTATATACCTTGTGTAGTCGCCATGTTTGTTAGCTGTTGTGTATTCATTTAGATGACAAACTCACTCTTGAATTGTTTTCTATATTCTGTTTCTATTCATCGATCCACCTCTGGTACATTCATGTTACTTGATTAAAGTACTGTTATATCATTGAGTAATCCCACAGTGATATTACAAAAATTGGTGCAAGTACTTTTATTGTGTTCTCAATACACTACATTGGCCATCGAACGGGTTGGCGCTACCAGTGTATTCGCGATTTCGCCGCAAAGAAACCTATTCCAACTTTAAAATCATACCAAACTAAAACTTCTACACTAAACCTTACTTGCTTTGTGGAAACGGAAATACCAGTACAAGCTTTCATCTGTACAAAATATTGTTTTACAAGCACACGTGCGTGACCTCTTGTGAACTTCCTATTCCATATTGGAACGCTTGCTCTCCAATTTGCGTTGCTACCCGGTATCCAAGTACGTGACCTCTAGCTGCAAAGGGCATATTCTAATATACTATTGAGATTACATTTTCTTTAAGAAATACTAAATTCAGAAATCCTCATGCGTTCATCTGTTTGTCTGTTCTTCGTTTTTTCGTTCGTTCATTCGTTCGTTCGTGTGTTCGTTCTTTCGTTGGCACGTTCGTTCATGTGTTCGTTCGTTCGTGTGTTCGTTCTTTCGTTGGTACGTTGTACGTTAGTTCGTTTATCCTTTCGTTTCTTCCACAATCTACCCACATTACTCGTTTATGCGTTCAGTCAGTAATTCATTAATTTACTTCTTCAAGTCGTTATTCATTCTGTCTATCCGTTGTTCAAACATCCGTCAAACCAGGAAATTAATTGCTTTTCCGTTTGTGTACAATTTATTCATTTTTACATTTCCCACTTTTATGATCTATTGTTTCCTTACTCGGAACTGGTTAGATCAAATGACCACCACAAACCGTATA